GAGAAACAGAGAGAGAGAAACAGGAGAGAGAGAGAGAGATAGAGAGAAACAGAGAGAGAGATAGAGAGAAACAGAGAGATAGAGAGAAACAGAGATAGAGAGAGAGAAAACAGAGGAGAGAGAGAGAGAGAGATAGAGAGAAACAGAGATAGAGAGAGAGAAACATAGAGAGAGAGAGAGAGGAAACAGAGAGAGAGAGAGAACAGAGAGAGAGAGAAACATAGAGAGAGAGAGAGAACCAGAGAGAGAGAGAGATAGAGAGAAACAGAGAGAGAGATAGAGAGAAACAGAGATAGAGAGAGAGAAACATAGAGAGAGAGAGAGAAACCGAGAGAGAGAGAGAAACATAGAGAGAGAGAGAGAACCAGAGAGAGAGAGAGAAACATAGAGAGAGAGAGAGAAACCGAGAGAGAGAGAGAAACCGAGAGAGAGAGAGAACCAGAGAGAGAGAGAGGAAACAGAGAGAGAGAAACATAGAGAGAGAGAGAAACCGAGAGAGAGAGAGAAACAGAGAGAGAGGAGAGAGAGAGAAACCGAGAGAGAGAGAGAACCAGAGAGAGAGAGAGAACCAGAGAGAGAGAGAGAACCAGAGAGAGAGAGAGAAACCGAGAGAGAGAGAGAACCAGAGAGAGAGAGAGAAACCAGAGAGAGAGAGAGAAACCGAGAGAGAGAGAGAACCAGAGAGAGAGAGAGAACCAGAGAGAGAGAGAGAAACATAGAGAGAGAGAGAGAAACATAGAGAGAGAGAGAAACCGAGAGAGAGAGAGAAACATAGAGAGAGAGAGAGAGAAACATAGAGAGAGAGAGAGAACCAGAGAGAGAGAGAGATAGAGAGAAACAGAGAGAGAGAAACATAGAGAGAGAGAGAGAACCAGAGAGAGAGAGAGAAACATAGAGAGAGAGAGAGAGAGAACAGAGAGAGAGAGAAACAGAGAGAGAGAAACATAGAGAGAGAGAGAAACCGAGAGAGAGAGAGAAACCGAGAGAGAGAGAGAAACCGAGAGAGAGAGAGAAACCGAGAGAGAGAGAGAAACCGAGAGAGAGAGAGAAACATAGAGAGAGAGAGAGAGAAACCGAGAGAGAGAGAGAAACCGAGAGAGAGAGAGAACAGAGAGAGAGAGAAACAGAGAGAGAGAAACATAGAGAGAGAGAGAGAAACCGAGAGAGAGAGAGAAACATAGAGAGAGAGAGAGAAACCGAGAGAGAGAGAGAGAAACATAGAGAGAGAGAGAGAGAGAAACATAGAGAGAGAGAGAAACATATAGAGAGAGAGAAACATAGAGAGAGAGAGAAACATATAGAGAGAGAGAAACATAGAGAGAGAGAGAAACATATAGAGAGAGAGAGAGAACCAGAGAGAGAGAGAGAACCAGTTCCCCGTCCGATTCCATTCTCATTCTCATTCCCCGTTCCGATTCTCATTCTCATTCCCCGTCCGATTCTCATTCTCATTCCCCGTCCGATTCTCATTCTCATTCCCCGTCCGATTCTCATTCTCATTCCCCGTCCGATTCTCATTCTCATTCCCCGTCCGATTCTCATTCTCATTCCCCGTCCGATTCTCATTCTCCATTCCCCGTCCGATTCCTCATTCTCATTCCCCGTCCGATTCTCATTCTCCTTCCCCGTCCGATTCTCATTCTCATCCCCGTCGATTCTCATTCTCATTCTCATTCCCCGTCCGATTCTCATTTCATTCCCCGTCCGATTCTCATTCTCATCCCCGTCCGATTCTCAATTCTCATTCTCATCCCCGTCCGATTCTCCATTCTCATTCTCATTCCCCGGCCGATTCTCATTCTCCTTCTCATTCCCCGTCCGATTCTCATTCCATTCCCCGTCCGATTCTCATTCTCATTCCCCTTCCGATTCTCATTCTCATTCCCCGTCCGATTCTCATTCTCATTCCCCGTCGATTCTCATTCTCATTCCCCGTCCGATTCTCATTCTCATCCCCGTCCGATTCTCCGTCCGATTCTCATTCCATT